TAATTGGCAACCTGATTAAAGGCCCTAGTAGGTGGGATTAGGGCCTTGAGGAGGCACTCCTTTATTTGGGTGATTTTCAGCCAGCTGCAATACTTTATGGCAGTTTGAGGAGCGGCTGTACTTTGCACGGTGACTTGGTTGTTTTTGGACTCACGGCGGGCCACTCAGGACGCGGTGCGCCCTGCTGTACAAATACCATGTGGTTGCAGCATCAGTAATCCATTGTTACTTGCCGATTCTGGCAAACGCCTCCGGATCGCGCGGATCGGACCACAATCCGGCGCGACCGAGCTTGCAGCCACCCGGACTCCATCGCCGCGGCCCCAGCAATCCTCCAGGGATCTGGGCCCACCACCTAGGAGTGCACCGAGCGCGCGCCCCGACCAAGCTGCGGCCAATCGCGGCCGCGCGGGCCATTCTGGCCATTTGGGCGACAAGGCGGCTTCGGAAACCAGCACCCCATCACGCAGCCTGCGAGTGGGCGGGTCATGGGCAGAAGAAAGGGGAGTCCCCCTGGTATGGCTGATGGCGCATGGGCGGTGGAGGAGTGGAGCGGTGGATGTCTACCGGACGCTGGCCCTGGACGCGGAGCTAAGGGTGTGCGCAAAACTGTGATGGGGGGACTGGGAACAGGGAAGCGGAGGAATCGAGGTACACCCGTCCAACCGAGCGGGCAGGAGGGGCATAGGACGCCGATCAAGCGCCCCGGGCCGGCCGATGGATATGCGGGGACCAATACCACCATGAAGGAAGCAAAAGACCGTGAACAAGCCTGACACCAGAGCCAAGTCGATGCACACAGGAGCCAGGGAGATCCGATCGGTGGAGAGCCGAAGAGAGTAGGGCAGGAGGGACACAGAACGCCGAGCGAGTGCCGCGGGCCGGCGGAGGGACGAGCAGGGACCAATGCTACTGTGAAGGAGGCGAAAGATCATGAGCAAGCCAGTCACCGGGGCCAAGTCGGCACTCACAGACGACAAGGAGATCCAGTCGGTGGAGAGCAGGAGAGAGCAAGGCAGGAGGAACCCAGGATGCCGCGCGAGCGCCGCAACCCGGCCGGGGGACCTGCGGGGACCAATGCTGCCGCGAAGGAGGCGGAGGACCGCGAGCAAGCCGGACACCAGAGCCAGGCCGGCACACACAGCACACAGCGAGATCCAACCGGTGGATAGCAGGAGGGAACTATTGCAGCCCCGTCGGCAGCAGTTGGTTTCCGGAGGCGTGGGGGTCGCCCTGCCCTGCGGCTCGGCTGTTGGAGGTCAGCCGGCTCTCTCCACCTCGGACGGTGGGCGTTTCCGGGGCAGTCGAATCGGCGGTCGTGCGGTGGGCCCAATGTCGATGGGGATCGATCCCCAAGGCATGCTGTCGGCAAGAGGTGGCGGCGCAGCGAGGTGGTGGTTCGCTGGCTCGCGGGAGGCCAGAGAGTGGGCCAAAACGGTTACAACGATTCACTGCATGCGCGCGCACATATCACATGCGCGATGCCCGATCGCGGGTCCATCGCGGTCACATCAAGACAAGACAACACAGTGCGCGTCCAGGCACATCGTCACCGTCCACCGTTCACCTACGATCGACCCATTGTCCTCTAATTCCAGGCGTCTAACACCCGACCCCCTGGCCCTAAGTACTACGATTTCAAGAGGCCATATCTTCGTCAATTCTTAACGGAATTGGGCGTTTAAAAGCGCGTTGGAACCAAGAAGCTCTAAATAACACTTACAAAAGGTCCATTTAGCCAATTACGTAATTCCCACTCTAGAAATGTCAAATACGTCTAACCCCAAGCAGCCACGTCATAGGAACTGAGGAAAGGACATGGGGGCGCGAGAAGGTGCAGACAACACGGCAGGATGGCTCGACTCAGCTGGCAGGACCCCCGATCTGGTGCCGAAGGAGGCGACAGTCCACTGGTTACCTGGAGAGTCTTCCGCCTCGCATCCATGTGGAGCCCCCGGGGGAAAGGGCAACAAAGTGACCCGGCCTGGAACGGCCGCCGCAGCAGGCAACGCGGAGCCGGGGCCGGCGGTGCGGAGCTCGTAACCAGGCGAAGAGGAGGTGCTGCGCAGGCAAACAGGGAAGTCAACATTTCGCAGAGGCCTGGTGGGAGAAAATGCAGGCGCGCGCGAAGAGGGCAGATCGCCAGCACCTACCCGGCGGATGGAGACGGCCGCGATCACGCGAACCCAGCGGGAGGGGGGAGGCACCGGGGAAGGTCGAAGGGGAGTTGTGGGCGTGTGAGCCGGTCGAGAGCAGGATCTAACGCGGCGTTAGGCGGGTTGGCCGCATGTAGCCAACAACAACAAAAACGGGTGTACTAAAGCAGCCAACCATAATGATAATGCAATAACCGCCTCGCCGGCCAACCCCACGCATCTGGCCACCACGGGCCAAAACAAGGGCAAACGAGGGGAGAAGGGGATGGGGCCAAGAGGTGAGGGAGGTTGTGACCGCCAGTCGAGTGAGTGGGAGGCGTCCTCCCCGGGGGCAGGGGCCGCGACCGCGTCGATGAGCCGACGGGCCAGGGACGGCGGGTCGGCGGCCCACCTCCGGGTGAGTGCTTGGATGCTGGGTGGCTGACGCCGGTGGGCCCGGGTCAGCACCTAGTTCAGTTCCGGTGTTAGGGGAGTGAGGAGACAGAGGTTGGACTGGAATGCGGCCCATTTAAGAAAAGTTGGAAGTCTTGCTTCAAGTGGAGGGGCAGCGTCGCAGGGGGGGAAGTGACCGGGGCGGTACGGGGGGTGGGAGCAGAATCAACATAAGCGCCAACAATAAGACAGTAGGAAAGCACGACAACTTACCGGTATATACGAATAGAGCGAGAACTGAGACGCGAAAAAAAAAAAAAAAAAAAAAAGGAAGGAAGGGGGGGAAGAGGGTATAAGGCTAGCGGAAGGGCGCTAAGCGAACGCCCTGAACAAGAAGTAACTTAAGCGGCGACACACGAAGCTTAAGAATGGCCCTTCAATCCCCCAGGCTGCCCAGTGAAATGCTTATGCCATCGCCTTCTCCTTCCCAGAGCCCCCCACCTCCCGCGCCGCCCTGGATCTGGACTCCGTCTACGACCACGCCCTGTCCCCCCTGCACCACAATGTGGCCGACTTCGTGAGGGACGTGGCCCCCAACCGGCGGGACTACCTCCGATGGAGGCGCGTCATCTTCGACATCGAGAACGCCTCGCGGGACGTCTTTGGCCGCCGGGCACAAGTGCGGGCCTTCGGGAGCATCGCCTCCGGGCTGGCCACGTTTCTGTCGGACCTGGACCTGGTGGTGTGTGATGTGATCGGGTGACGTCGGGTGGCTACACGCCGGCGCAGCGGGCGCGGGCGGTGCAGGCGCTGTACAGGCTGGCCAAGAGGTTGGTGCAGAGGCGGGACGTGGCGATAGAGACGATGCAGGTGGGGAGGCAGCTGCCGCGGAGGGCGGGATTGCTGCCCGTTTGTTTCCGCTATGTTTTGTTTGCTTTCGTTTGCTTTCGTTTGTTTTGCTGTTTTGCTGAGCTCCTGTTGTTGCTGATGGTGCCAAGCTGGTGCACGTGTGTTTCATTTGTCATTTGCTATGTTATGTTTTGTTATGTTATTGTTGCTGCTTTGGTTTGCTGCGTTTGTTTTTGCTGATGATGGTTCCAAGCTGGTGCATCAAGTCTTGGGATCAGCGATGGCAGATGTAGCAACTGCGAGTGCATTGGCTGTGGGAGCACTCACGGTAGCGATTCGGTTGAGAAGCCGATCTGGGGGTTCATTTGGGAAGGTGTTGGTGTGCTTTGTCGTGTGGCTGAGGGAACTATGGTTCAGCAATAAGATAATACTGGTTCGCATTCGAACGCGTTGTCCACCCATGCGTCGACAGTGGCGGATGGTGTCTCTGTCCATCGAGCCAGAGTACGAATCTCTTTGAGTAACGATTCAGTGAGAAGTGTTGGACGGAATAATTGCACTGTTGGGCATCTTTGCATGGTGGGTGACATTAAACCCTGTTTGTCACATATGTGGATAGTTTTGGTTTTCTTAATTGCAACACAAACATGTTGAAGGGAGTTCAACACTCAGTGGCGTTGTATTTTTGTCCCCATGTCAGCAAATGTTGAATGCATCCACAACCCAAAGTCATCCCCTAAATGCGACCAACATTATCCACCTGAAACACACGGATGAGATGATCAAGCTTGCCATCTGAGCTGCATTCAAATGAATGGCACCCTTAACTTGAGTCCTTTGACAACATTTGTTGAAAAGTTACTAGTATGTTGAAAATCACTGCTCTCTGCACAAGGAGCAAAAAGGCCTGCGGGGTGTGGGACAAATTCGTCATGATGCCCATGTGGGGCAGGCAATGCACATTCTGCTTGGCTTGTAGAGAGGGAACACCCAATGGAACTGGATTCCCTGAGTAAGAGTGCCCCAGACTATGCAGCATGCGCTGATGCTTCAAGCTTGTCTTGGGGTTTTCGAACGGAGCGTGGTCGGCTTGGGGTCATCTTCCTGATGGAACCCCAAAAAAGGTTGTGGAGATAGATGGTTATAGGATGCACAAGAGGGAGCCTGCTAGTTGTGTGGCAGTTGGTGCTGCTCATTGCTGCGATTAATGGTCTCTGCCAAGTGCATGGATCAGAATCCTTCAAGTGCGCTTGTTCCAAAAACACAGAGCAGGGCCCTAGCACCTGACAGCTGATGCTGGGCATAGTTTTGCACAAGAATTGTGAAAGGTTTGGGTATCATCACTTTGTGCATGAATCCCACAAGACCTGCTCAACATGCTTGCTTCCCCTTCAGTGTGCGCATTTGAATAGCGAAACTTGCCATGGATTCTTAGTTGTAAAGAAGCAGAAAACAAGTGAAACAAATGTTTACATTATGCTTCGAAGGTGATGGATTTATGCTTTGTTCTATCTAGCACATGCAGTCACACAGATTGACTTCACATTGTATTGAAGAGAAACTGATGCTTGCTGCAGGTAATCCCAATGGCCAGAGTGCCCATACTGAAGATCGTCACACAGGATGCGATCAGCCTGGACCTATCTGTCCACAATGCTTCTGGACCCCTGGCCGCAGAATTCATCAAGGAAGCTCAAGGAATATCCCACTGCGCGCCCAGTATGCCTCGTTATCAAGACCTTCCTCAAGGAGCTGGACCTCAACGAGGTGGCCTCTAGGGGCCTGGGCGGTTACACACTTGCCAACATGGTCCTGGCGCAGTGCCTGGAAGACATGGGCAACCCTGCCGAGGAGGACTATGGCGAGGCGCTGCTCAACTTCCTGGAGCTGTTTGGCACACGGTTTGACTATGTTCGACAGGTGTGAAACAGGGACTAGTGTATTTTGTGTGCCAGGCATTCTGAGGTGCTTGTAGACTGCTACGAAACTGACGCTGCCTGCTGATCTGAATTCAATAGAGCTTTATGACTGGTCCAGGCGGCAAATTCACGTTGCCGTGGCAAATAGTTTTCTGCATGCTGCAGGCTGTGTGCCTGCGGCGCGACGGCGTCCTGACCAAGAAGCAGATCGAGGAGGAGGCACGCAAGTGGATATTCAACCCGGCTTGGGAGGGGAGGACGGACAGGAAGAAGAGGCTGCTGGTGGAGGACCCACTCACGGGACTGAACATCTCGGGTGCGAGCTCGCGGTATGGCGAGATCAGGGGGCACTTCTCGCGGGCTTGCGGGGAACTGAAGAGGGAAACGGAGAAGGGGGAAAACGTCAACCCCCTAAACGTGCTGCTTGATGTGGCCGAGGTGATCCGCAGGCCAGAGGTGCCCAACAGGCCACACAGAATACACACCGCCAGGAGAAGGAGGCTGGAGCATACCGGCGAGACCGTGATGCGCCTGCGAGCGCCTCATGCCATGGGGTGCAGTGCGGTGAGGCTGTGTTGACAGCACGCCGTGCGTTGCTTTGCATAGTTAGTCCTGTTTGCTGTTTCTTGTGCTGTTTATCCTCCTCATTGTAATTTTGACATGCGGCATTTTAACAGAAGTGCAATCACAGGGCCCCTCACGTAAGTGTTGTGCGATTTGGTGATCGAAGTGCCCTGAACGCTTGCCAGAGGTCGTCACGCTGTCAATGCAGCGGCGCCTTTACAGCTGGTGCTACTTGCAGGGGACTGCCAATCACTTCTGCCATCGCTTGGTCTTGCACACAGTTTCTGGGGGGTACTTTTGGCGCTTTCTGCATAACTTGAACCCAACAGTCACCGTTGAGGCCCAGTACCGGAATTGGTCCAATGCCAGCATACGCCATGTGGCAGGTGGTCGGTCGGCAGTGCCATGCCGTGGCGTCGTCTTGGGCCACTCCTTTGCTGTCGCAGCAGGAGGGGCGAGGTGCCCCGGAAATCTAGCAAAGTCACTGGAGCGGCACATCTAAATGCACACTTGCACCAGAATGAGCGATGCATGCTTAGCCCCAAGACGTGGATGCCCAAGGATCGATGCCTATTCTGCCAGGGTTGTGCCAGAGTCCCCTCACCATGGGCACGCAATAGTGGCGATGATGTTGATGACAATCACTGACAACTGCGCTGCGCAAACTACTGCTCTATGTCAACTTCGAGATTGGGAACTGATTGCACAATATGTTGTGCCTGGGGACAGCCTCACGATGAGCAAATCCCTGGTCGACTCCAAACTGCCCAACACAGCGACGCCGCTTTCGGGCGGAGCACATGAAGCTCTGGCGGCCCCTCAACAACCGCAATGTACAATGGGCCAGTTCACTGGCCACGTGCGATGCTGTTGGATTGCAATCGTGGCAGAGTGACCCGTGGAGGCGTGGTGACTTGTGGAGGCTCCCCGTCAGGTGCAAAAGCCAGACATCTGTCGAGGTCAGGTGGATTAAAGTTTGAGTACAGCCATCAAGTTGAAGAACACACAAGGTGAGCACGCAAGTCTATTACACAGTACCCACACATCTACACCCCTGAATCTACAAGTCATCCCTGGATTACTGCAGTTCGAAGGAATGGTAGCCCGCCACGCCCAGGCAACAGCTACAGCATGCATGACACAGATACATGCACGGCGGCCGAGCTGAAACCAGATGTGCTTGTGGGATCCCTCCGAGTTGATCAGGCCACCAACGCTGTGCGGCCACCCCTCTACAGCTACAGCTCCGTCCATACACCTCAAGGATGCAGGCGCTACCACGCTAAGCGCCGCCAAGCCAATCTTGCCGCCGATGAGCTTGCTCGGAATCAGAATGATGCTATTCTTGATTCCCCAGCACCCAAAACACACTTCCGTCCATCTCCTCAGCTGCGGTGTTCTCCAACATCGAGCATGAGGTCCATCTGGAGTCACATGCAGGCGCCGCCACATTCTTCAGTGACCCAAAGCAATCTCTCATGCCCAACCTGCAAGGTCCCCCCACCCCTCTCATCTCTACACGTGCAATTCCATCGAATCCAAGCCATTCTGGAAACTCCAGAACAAACACCATTGGCAACAACAGTCAGAGGGACCCGCAAGTGACCGGTTCACGCGTCCTTCCCAGTCTCCTCTCTCCTTGCCTTTGGCGACTCTCCCCCCTTTGCATACTCCGCAAGGTCTTTGTCATCCTCCAGGGCAAAATCCTTGTTGATGTCTTCCATCCTCGCCCCGGCGCCTGCCTCCCATGCATCGAATCGATTTTTGAGGAGCCCTCATGGAGACAAATCGCTTGAATACCATGGATTCGATAGATTCGATTTAGATAGAAAATATGGATATCATGGATTCCATAAATTCGATGTAGGTGGAAAGTATGGATATCATGGGTCCGATGGCTGTGAGGATGGAGCTTCAACCCAGACGCATTCGCACACGACTGGGGGGAATATCGTGGAATGGACGGTGATGCAGATAATCTACATTCGTTCATCAGTTCAATTACAATGTAATCAAAAGCAAGCAATTGCAAACAAACGAGCAGCCTTGTTTGTATTTGGTTCACTGTTGGGTGCAGATATGACACTGCTTGAAAACAAGAAACCAGGATGGAGAGCACAACCAGTTGGAAGACAGAGGAGAGTCCACAAAGCCCTCCAGCACACAACTTCTGCGATGGTGTCCCATAACCCGTGTGGTTCCTCTTCAAGCTGTGTGGCCACCAACCGCACGTCACTTCTCAGCTCTTTCCTCATTTTACACATGGGCTTTGCAACAAGATGTCGAGGATCCTAACGGCGACTATGAGAGTGATAAGGTCAATAGCATTCAACAAGCCCATTCACTTGGCAATGCAAAACACAGCATCACCCTTCGGCGACGTAGTTAACGGGCTTTTGCTGTGTGCCTCACCAATGCGATTGAAGCCAAGTATCTAAAAGCCGATCGCCTACGGCTAGGCCAGTTTTAGAGTCTTGACAACACTGCCATGCATGTAGATGACAACCCACAGGAGGCCATGAACATACAGTGTGTCGATTTCTGCTCAACACGGCCTTCAGCCGCTGCTAATTGACAAACACAGCCAATGGAAGTGCGCACCTGGACGAGAGCTCGCTGTTGTGAGAAGCGGCAGATTCTCTTCCATGGCGATCACCCCAAGCTCCGTCGTGACTATGGTGTCGGTGTCCAATACACCATCTTCTTCGAGCCGCAGGTAGGGATTGTCATCCAGTGGCCTGCGCCCACCACAGGCATGACATCATAAATCCCCAGGCACATGAACAAATGTTCAATGATGTTCGACATATGATAGCGTTATGATTATGTAACTATCACGGATGTCAACAGAGGGTTAACGATGTTGATGGACGCATGCCATCAATGCCTTGCAGATAGACGCAAGGGCGGTTCTTGTCATGTGTTGGCAAATATTCACAGCCATCCCCTGTGTTCCACTTCGCCAGCTCTGCAGAACTGCCATGGTGCACAACAAAACGATGCCAACATATGCACACTGTTGGCAGCCGTAACTTCACGTCGTCTGCATTTAGTTTCCGCACAAAATGGAACATAGCAGCACTGCCGTGTCCTGTCTGTGAGCTGGCTATGCCTGATGTCCACAGAGGCTGAATCGTCTGGGCGTTATGTCAAAGGGGCAAAACTTCAACTGATAGGTCTTCCAGTGATGTGGTAAATGCAAGATATAAAAGGGTTGGCATCTCCTCTGTTGGATGGGTTGGTGCCTTATATCGTACTTGTCACGTGCAAGTCCGGAAAGAACCAAAAAAATGCCACAACTGACTCCAATTCGATGGTGGCGCATACCAAGCCCGCTTCTTACCTTAAGAACGTAACACAGATGAACAAGACCAAGTTGTGCAGCACATCCAGGGTCTCTGTCCAAGACTTAATAGGCTCTTTGTAGCCCCCAAGAGGAAGCAAGTGGACAACTGTGTACAGACACACAGACCATCTGAGACAAAGTCACCGCAAGGTAACTATCGCCACACAACGCCAAAGGCAGTCATAGCCACCGAGAGGGGTCCTTTCATGGCCAAATAAGGTCCACAGGCCCAGTTTGCAGTCCGTGGCACTATCAGAACTGAATGCCAGGTTTCTGCAACTTTTGCCGAACCAGTAACAATGGTGCGGGTTCAAGTCTTGTGCAACACAAGTAGCAGCATTTCTGTGCAATACAAAAGCAATTTCCTGAATCCTGCACCTTTAAATCATGGGGTAGGCACCTCAAATGCACCAAAACTGTACATAGGCAAGTTTCAGTTTGTGCTGTTGGCGTTGCTTGAAAGAACCCATGCACCAAATTGCCGTCAGTCGCGATTTCCACATTATATATGTGCAACATCCCGCACTGCTTTTTCTGTTCCTGTCTTGACCATACATTGCTGCAATCTGCTTTTTCTCCTTCAGTCATTCACTGCACTATCCATGAATTTCTAGAAGCACGGAGAATGGGAGAAAAATAGAAAACAGCTCCCCTGGCTGCAACAGACTTGGTAAGGCAATTGCACAGTCAATGCAGCCCCCTACAGGTGGGTGACTGCCATCATGCCCAAGTGCACTGGCCACAAGCACATGAATGCTGGAGCCCCAAATCCACAGGAGTGTTAGCCACACAAAAGAACTTGCAAACAGTGTGCGCCATGTTGACATACACAAAGCTGCAAAGATGTAGATCATGAGGAATCTGTAGAATCTGCTCAGCAGCCTCAGTTTTCCCTCCATCGTGAACGCATTCTCAACCGTCTTGGGTGCTGTGCCTTGCTCATCGTCTCCAAGGATGACCTGAGGCTTCGGATCGCTGCCATCGGCAGCCCTCTCACCAGCTGCACAGGTCCCACCACAGCCCTTTCAATGCAGCCCTCAGACATGAGTGTATCAGGACCTCCGTTTGCCTAACATTCTGGGAGAAACACTGTACCTAAGACTGAGCTGTTGTCACACAGCAGCTGCACAGGCAGTGTCCTCACATTTGTTGTTCATGGTGTCTCACAGGGAATGCTGCCCAGAACGACAAGATGTTTCATGACAACAATATGTCTCATGATGGAGGAAATCGGTGGACTACACACGCTGGCTCCAAACACACTTCTGTAGTTTTTCCCCAAGACCAAAATAGGAAGGGCAAAGTTGTGGAATCAGATAACTTCTCCCATGTGCCACCATCTGTGTTTGTATGCAAGATGACACCAGATTGTTGGGCTGCCTGCCTGGCAGCAGGCGCCACACTGTTGAGCACATACCGGCACACAGTATGCTTTGCAGAATGTGCCACAAAATGTGCCTGCAGGAGGGCATTGTTGGATTCACAATCTCCCCATGGTGGCCATTTCTGGGTTCCATCAAGGGTTGGCAAAAATGCCCTAAACTACAGACCAGAAGACCTTCTGAGCTAGACAAAACCAGCACTTTGCGATAATTGGACAAAGCGATGCAAGTCCACTGGAGACCCTGTAACTAAGACTTTGCAAAAAGAGATCCCAAAATGAGTGCTAACAACCAAACAATGGGCTGAAAGGTGCGATGCTGGAGAGGTGCAACACATATTTTCAGCCAGGAGAATGCAGCCTGACACTGTCGCTGCTGGCTAAGGTGGGCTTTGGGACAATCACGTGGCCGTTCCCACCATATTTTGGATGCCATTCCATACTTTTTACTATTGTGCTATTTGTGCTATTTGCATTGAGTGTTGTCACTGTTGCCAACAGGTTGCAGTCAGGACAGAACAAGGAAGACACTGAGTCTGCCACAGTGCCAGGTGAGCTCGTGATCAATATACCTTGTTGCGAGGGTGGGTAAGCCCCATCACTGACCTCTGGTGGGTTGGTGGTGGGACGTGCTCCCTGGACACCGCACAGAGCTGCATGGTATAGTCACCTTGAGATAGTTCAATGATACACACCCAGGCATCCTGTTGTTCAACACATTATCGGTTTAAATATTCACAGGCTCACAGGTTCTGCTCACTGAAAAACGATCCCACCATCATCAGTCACCACACCCAGTTTGGCGCCTGCCCATCAGCTCCATTATGGTAATGTCACAGCCCTGTGGTCGTGGCCATCAGCAGCACACACAAGCGATCATTCCTACTGTGCCGTGCTATTTTCCTTTCTCTTCCAGACATCCTGTACTCCTGGCTTTCTCCATTGAGCATTTCTTTTCAAGAATCGCTGGAGCTAAGGCATGCAGGCATGGACAAACTGGAGAGGTTTGTGCCCCTAAGTCCATTTGAAGGTGACAAGGTAGCCCTCATATCCTTCTGGCCAGTAACAGCAAAGAAACTGCCGAAATCTGACAGCCTGCTTAAACAATTTCCAGCCAGAAATTCAAGAAAGACCTGCCCAGTGTACATGTCACAGCAACAGCTGGCCGCAGTACATCTGGTGCAACAGTTTCTTCCTCACAAGCACATGCCAGCAGAAATCCACACTTATTCTCTTGAGGACCTCAGACCAGTGTCTTGCACCTGTTAAGCGCATGCTCATCTGTTGGGAATTCAACGTTGTTGCCAAAGAAAGGGGTTCAGTTGTGTGGAGGGGCCAACAGGGAGTGTGCAAACTTGGGCTACTGCAGGCATGCAGCATACCTCCAAATCATCCTTCATGATCTTGATTTCTAGAGCCAAGCTCTCAACGACGTACACCCAAGAGAATACAAACACCATATTCCAGACAACCTGCAAAGACAAAAGAGCCGTCAGCACATGCACAGAGTCGCCAAAGCTGGCAACACCCACCTGCACAACCGCTCACCAACACAACACATCTTGCCACAAGTATGGCGCCAAGCAGAAACTGTTGAGTACAGTTGTCAGAATCTGTCTGCCAGTCTGCTGACTTCATCACATCTATTTGTCGTTCTGTTCAATCTTCAGTAGTTGGCGATTGCTATTGTGAAAGCACAGTGTTGGGCACCACCGCTGCCTTCTTGGCAGTGGCAAGTGGGGCTGCTAATGCCTCTTGTTCGCATTGGTTGCTTCTGTAACCACCACGACCCACCGCCTGCACATATAATTTCCTCCAAAGACAATGTCTGGCAGCCTAACTACAATGTTTCACGTGTGCCTGCAAGAATGAGCCCTGCTTCAGGGAGATATCAGCAAGCTGGACCAACAACTTGACGCTCAGACCACAAGAAAGCTTGTCTCTCCTTAGTTCTTGGTTCCTTTGAAGGTGGCAACATGTGCCTGGAACGGAACACTGTGGTGGCAGTGCACACCCATCATCCCTAGGTAAGGTGCAAGGGCTTTGTGTTATCATGTTCAACAAATGTGACAACAGAAATCTACCCCTTGTGCCGCAGCACTTGTCCTTGCGCATGAGGAACAGCATTGACCTTCTTTCCTCACCGATGCGATCACAGTCTTCGCGAGGGCCTGGTTACACTCTGTCCCCGGTTGCAGTGCAGAAACTGCTGTCCTTGCCACGATCTCAGGGCAGTCAGTGACACGAACATAGTCCATCATCTGCAGCCATACCAGAGTGCTGTGAGAGGTGTTGGCCAACAGAGAAAAGAACAATGGGATGGAATTGTTACTCAACACTCAGAGATTCAATGGCAGTGGATTCGCGCAAAGATACGAAAGGGCAAAGATACCTCAGGGCATTAGCCCTAGCTCTTGGAGATCGATGGGCCAGACTGACACAGTGCATCAGCAAGTCCTGTGTGGTGCAAGCTCCGCTTCCACATTTGGAACTCAAAAGTACCTCAAACCTAACTGGCAGCTTGGCTAAGATTCCAGATCTGACGTCCCTCACACCGCCAATGTAAGCTAAAAATGGATCCTCATCTTGTGCTCATCCTGTGGCAACAGATTGGCACCTACAAGTACGATCCAGCGTTCAACTCATACCAAATTTTGGTCAGAACAACGCTTACCAGAGACGTGATGCCATACACGATGGGCAGCACAACTATCCTCAGCTGGCCTTTTCTGTTCGGCCCCATTGTATTCCTTGTTATGCTGTTGACAAGGCAAACGGGCAACATCAGCCTTCGCAATATTCAATTTACTATGGGAATCTGTAATTAAAGCAATAGACTGCCAAACAGCAGCATACTCTCCTGCTGCACAGGGACCAGGCTGAAGGTGAGAAAACTCCACAGGAATTGATGGAAAGTAAGCACTAGATGCATGATTGAGCTTGTTTTTCTTCCGTAACCACTGTACTCTGCACATGGCCTCAATGCTGAAAACGCCTCTTGCACTTCACTTCTGTGCAAATTCGTGAAGATGCGAACCCAGGCACATTCTAGGGTAGGCAACAACATTTGAATTGCACATTTACATGTGCTTTCGCTACTTCCTTGCTTTTACAAAGCCCACTGGGGCCACATGACAATGGCAATTTAAATATTGCCTTCAATTCAAGAGGTCTTCACACTCTGACGTGAAGCTGGACGTGGAGCACGCATTGTTGAGTGTTGCTTGTGTTGCACAAGGAAATTTGCCCATCATGTTCATAGATCAGAAGAGAGCCGCAAAGCACTTTGTTCAGGATGCAGACGCCAGTTTTCTGCTCCATTCACAGACAATCTTGGGGCTAACAAAAGGTGAGGGGGCAAACTCCGCATACACACAAATCGTTCTGCTCAATATGCTGGTGAGTCAATAATGTGATAAGTGACTTGGCATTATGTTGCACAATGCCAGACATCAGGAACTTCAGTTCAGCTGAAACATTTTTCAGCCAGGTGTATCAGTTCTCAACAATAGATCATGGTTGCCATTCCACTATCTCTCCGCCCAATACGACCTGCTCCACAAATATCTGGCACATGGGCTGCAAAATGGTACTCACCAAGAGCCCGATGCCACCAAGCTTATGAGAAGCTGTTGAACAGCAACACAGCATGGTGAGCCATTTCTCAAATACACCGTGGAGACAGCGTCAGGGCAGCATGGTAACTTGCACGATTGCCAAGGAAGCCTCAAGTTTGCATGCTCGACAGTCCAACACCGAAAGATCCCGCACTCTTATGTTTTCACATTCCACAAGGCAAGTTGCTACCGCAAGGCAAAAGACACAAATGCGGGTCCATCGGGCGACCGCTAAAAGCGCTGGCCGACTTCGCCGCCGCAAGCGGCGGTCAGGCGGCGGTCTGGCGGTCAGTCGTGATTCTTCACCTTCCGAATCACGAACACGACTTTCCGCAAGGGGGATCGATTGCCCTTCACGGGGCGCCCAAGCGAACGGCGAACTGGCGAACGGCGCCCGTCGCCAAGGTGCGCCATCACCAGAGCCCCACGCTAGTATCCGTCATCACGGTGCCAGCTTTCCACCCAAGACCACCCATTGTGTGAGCCAGAATACCCACAGAATACACATCAGAATCCAAGTTAGATCGCCCGTGCGGCCGCACCACAATCCCAATCCCCCACGCGCCCTCCCGATTCCCCGTTCCCCTCCACACGCCAGCCCAGCGCCAGCCCACCGCCCCACCATGAACACCGCGTCCGCCACGTCTCTGAAGAAAATGTACGCCATGAATGGCCCGTCGCTGCCCAGCCCCTTTATCTGCAGGGACCCCTTGTCCATTCTCAGGCCGATGTCCAGCCCCAGGGCACCCGCCACCAGGTAGGCCGTGACCACACCCCTGAACCCCCAGTGCAGCTTCCAGCCCCGCCCGCGGCTCTTCCTGTGCGCGATGCCGTCGATCCACACGCCCAGCCACAGCCCCGTCCAGACCACCAGGCGGATGACCAGGTAATCGACATTCCAATTTACGGACGACATTTGAGGCGCGCACGTTCACAGCTGGGTTGTGGGACACGTGCAGTGGTTTGAAATCCTTGTGGAACCCGATGGGAGGCAACCCTGAGGGGTTGCCCAGCGACGCAGGCCCCAATTTGGGTCAGGGGGGAGATGCTGGGGCTGCAAGGCGCACTGCCGGCGGGTCACAAGCCGCTCCCGGGAGCTTATAAGTGCGGGGCAGATCGCGCTGAGGGGACTGCACTGGCCGGTCGCTCGCTGGGCGAAGCAGAGCGGGGTGAAGGCAATACGCAGCGCCCAAGGCACCCGCTGACAAATACGCTGAACGGGTGTGACAGTAATGATACGATGTGAGGTGATGTGATATGAAAGGGGGGGTGATGGGACACCATCGGACGCGTGGGGCCCCGGGATATGGGTGCATGGCGCCGCATCTGTAACAACCTTTTTTTCGTGTCCATTGATCGCACGCCGTACGGGCGTTGGCGCTACATGGTTTCGGAGCCACGGGTACCTGGGGCGCGATGGCGGCGGCGACGCGCCATGAGTCGCAACCACGAGCGCCGTACTCCGGGGGCTGGCCTTGTCATGGCAACCGTGCTCGTCATCGTGGGAGGGCTCCGCGGCGATCGACGCCCGGCGGGCAGCCGCAGTTTGGGAGTGTGGGACGATGAGGTCATCGAGGGCTTGGCGGACCCCACACGAATGACACGGAAAGCATGGCGAGGCCGGTACGCCATGACGGGTTGGATACCCGGTGTCGAGGGATCCTTTGGTGTGGGAGTGGGTGCGGCATCACTGTTTTTGTTATGCAGTGCATGTCAGGGCGACTTACTCGACATTCTTGAGGCGGACACTTGCAAGTTGGGTGATGTGTGGTGGTAGTGTGGGTGCTACGGGGGTGAAAGAGTGGATTAAGACATGTGCCAAAGAAGTGCTAGAAATGTTATTGCTTATGGGCGGCATTGAGCCCAATCCAGGGCCGATTACTGGAGAAAAATCGATGAACCTCAATATTGACTAGAGGTGGCCACA